AAACATTAGCAGCGTAGCGTTCTTTCAATGCCTGCCACAAAAATTACCCAGGTTTGTTCTCCCCTGGACGTGAAGTGCTTCAGCAATCAGGAGTTGTCGCTGTACAGGAGGGTAAAAAATACGGTAACAAGGTGAAGTGGTCATGGAAATATTAACAGCAAAAAAACAGCAAGTAGAGAACAAAAATGTGTTCATCGAAGGTTATATACGAAACCAGGTAATTTTTGAATGTAAAATTCTCGTTCAACCGTCCAATTTTGAAATTGTATGCGGAACGATCTTGTTACCGTAATATATGGCCACCCTGTACTCTTCGGACAGTTTAGGACTCCGCGAATTGCTGGATTCGCAAAGTCTGACACCAGCCTTAGCACCCATCTCGAGGTGATGTTAAGATCGCATTCCAGGCTTTCCAAGTGTCTTGGTCTCTCTGAGTTGAATTATTCGCATGGATACCCTTGCACTTTCTGACATCGACCACTTCCTTATGTTTCCCCCTTTCTCACACTACTGTATTGGGACCATGCGACAAAGCTTTCGGGTTATCCCGTTTGGTTTCGCACCAGGTCAGTGCTTACATAAAATTGGGATTTGAGTGAAAGTAATCCTTGGAAAATCGTGAACAACACCGCTTGTGAACATTTTTACTGCATTAAGATAGCGGTGTCGCCACGTACTGAGCCTCTTGCTGTCTGAATGTTTGAACTCTGTGAAGCTTCAGAAGTTTATTGTAAAACAAACACAAAATTTCCTGAAGAGTTACAAAAGTGCTGATTCTGACATGGCTGACATTTGGGCGCTTAGCACCTTCTTTTACCTCAAAGCAATTTTTACTTGATTACTTAGTTAATAACTGGAAATAGTACATGAACTTTCCTACACATGGTAACTCTACGCAAAGATTTTAGCACACCCTAAAATACCAGAAGACCAAGCTTTAGTTCAAGCCTAAACCCAAGCATGACCTTAGGTATCAACGGTCGCGCAGTTCTGGTTAACTGACCTAGTAGGAAATCTGAACGTCTCCCGGAGAAGGATTTCGAAGAATTTCTAAACAAGAGGCCCAAAAAAGTAAAAGAAAGTGATATAGTAATGAACAATCAAATTATGTCTTAGTATTAACAAACAATAAAAGCCTCGAAAGATAAAGCAAGGGCATGGTAGGGAAAGAGCTCCGGACTTGGCCGAATTTCCATTGTTACTAAAGGGCTGACTTCCGGAGTCGGAGAAAAAAACTCGGCTGGCCTTACGGTTGGTACGATGGCTTCAAATTTGCCCTCAAGGGTTTGCTTTTTTTCCTGTGAAGTTTTTTGCATATTAGTCTTCAAACTGAGCCATAATTAATGTTCGGGCTCAGATCTTCAGTAAAGTAGTGTACAGCACCAATTGCTAACTATTATGCTTCCACTGTGTTGCACACAAGCGCATCTTGAGCAATTAATGAAATCAAAGACCAGTTGGATTCATTAGAGACTAATAATGGACTGACACAAACTCACCTTTGACTTCGACGTCGTCAGCAATATGCATTCGTGGAATCCGGTGGGCCAAATACAACGGAGCACAACGGACAATCTGCTCTATCTTCTCTTGCCGGGTGGGTGTAAAAGTTTAAACTTAAAATGGTCACTGAGCCTCGGACATTCCCGTCTTCTGCAAAACTTGACCCAAATTTTCTGTAGTCGAAAAGAACTGTCACAGTCCCCCATGCACGCTCCCCCTACTGGGTGAGACCTAGAATTCCATGAGGCTTTATATTTATTCATCACGGGTTATCGTGGCAGACTAATCACCAACCGATAATTGCTGTATTAAAAACTTTTCTTTACGATTTCGCCTTTAGTAAAAGATATAAGAGAACAATTGTTCATGAAGATTGTCCAGTAATACCTTCATTTTCAGTTGGTTTTCCTCGCTACAGGCGTATCTACTTCAACGACGTTGACGCGATTATGCGCAGAGGACGCAGTCCCGAAGAAGCCGTCAGGTTAGCTTTGATCTTCTGAGCTCTACTGTATTGAGCATCTTTCCTGCTATATATTTAAAGAGATAAAATATGTGCTTGGACCTCATAGAACCTCCCTCGTTGTCAGCTATTATTTATACACTATTTTTCTCATATTTTCGAATCAAAACAAAATCTTCCCAACAAAAAGAAACTCACGTTTTCTATGCAAACTATCCAATATTAATTTTTCCCATTCTAGCTGGTATTGCTCAATAATTCTTTTAACATAACATTCATTGCACATTCATACAAACTTTTTTGTTGGTTTCCTTAATCACGAGAATTGCTTCATTTGATATCAATAATTATATTGAACCAATTGTGTAAGGTATCGTAATAACTTCGTATCTAACGGCTATGGAAGTCTGCACTACAGACTCTCACAACCCAAGTGACGGCGTCCTTCAATCTGATATATAGTAATTTATAGGGACGGGATGTAGTCCATAAGTGATGGTTGTAATTAGTGACAACTGATGAAACACAACTGCAACGACTAATCATTTCATTGGCAGGAAACATTACATTTTGTGGGGGCCGCCGTCACTTGTGTTGTGAAGTCTGCACGGACAAGCGGCCGTCAGTGTGAAACGTTGGAGTATGGAGTATGCTACAAAAATAACATTTGATTTTGTAAAATTTCTGTCCTGTCTACATTAGCCTCGAAAAGGCCTTAATGCATAACTCCACACTCAGGGGAATAAGCTCCCTTGCTCTCTGAGTCCGAGCGTTGAGAGTCCTTGAGAATGAGACTAGGCTATAATGGCAAGGGCCTGAAGGTAAGGGCGACTAGCGCGACACAACCGCCGCCCTGCATATGCCACGGCTGCTTTCGAAGACACCGTGGACCTCTTGGTTCACATCGACGAATCCATCAGAGTTCCAAAAGTGCCTGATGTCTGCCTTAGATCAGCCTAACTATAGGTAACCACCTTTTGAGCAATTGGTAGGCGTCAATGATCGCCCATCGACGAAATTTCGGTAAAGCTTCCTTTGGCCGCTTTCGTGAATCATACATCTTCACCTTGCCCCCTTTCCGCATTCGCCTTGGCACAGATTCAGCTCGGATTCGTGCACTGAAGCAAGAGATTTCCCAGAAATAAAGATTGAAGCACCAGGTCTCGAATTATTCTGCGCGGCGTTCTATCGATGTTCCTTGGAGCTCATCCACGCTGGTTCTTTGAAAAAAGGGATAGATTTAAAAACTCCCAGTGGGCCTCGGTGCTTCCTCATCATCCCTCAAAGATCACCCACAAACTTTTCCGGCTGTGCTGTTGAATGATCAGTTCGCTTCGTTGGCCGGTGTTTGGTGGAACATAATGTAGCCGAGTGAAGCCGTGGATGTTGCAGTTTCGCGGGGTCGGGTATTTCTGACCTTCACTCCTAATCGCTTGCGGCCAGTACTGACTTCGCCCCATGTCAGGATCATATTGAAATTTGGCCTGTTCTTTATCAAAAACAATGATTAACTTGGAAGACACGCACAGACTGCACTCTATATAAGGGAGACCTTTCATGGTTCACCTTGGATTCCACAATTGCAAGTTCCTGAAGACCTTGCCATTTGTTCTGAGCGGCCCTAGTTCTGCGATTCTGAGTCTACCGCCTACATGTCACGACGGGAACAGCCCAACACCCAGAAAGTTTCCATCAACATTGAACTCAATACGTTCCAGCTAAATCGGTTGAGCCTTAAAAACGAATAGGAATAAAGTGAACTTGAACCATTACGGCCCGCTGGACATGGGCTCTTTCTCAAATGTTTTCTACTCAGTGTGAACCTTACTTCTTACTTCTTACTTCTCGACCGCTATTCGTCCCGGGCACGCGGCTGCTCTTGGGTTTCACCAGGTAAACGCAGGTCAACACATCTTCAGGGTCGCCTCTGCTTCGGGCTCTTCTGCGGCTACAACTGCCCGTACATTTCCCGCAGAGGTCTGCGCCAACGCGGGGGGGGTGGGGGGGAGCATTGGGGTGGGGGGGGGGTTCTGGTGGGGGTCTGCCTCTGGGCCTTGTTTTTCCCCTTGGGTACCAGTCAGTCACTCTCTTCGTCCAGCGATCATCGGTAAGTCTAGCCACATGACCGGCCCACCTCCGCTTGGAATTATAGATGGCATCGACGACGTCCTTCACCATCGTACGAGCGCGGATGGTGTCATTGGGTATGCGGTCTCGGAGCGTTACCCCGCACATGGCCCTCTCCATGGCTCGCTGAGTGACTGCGAGTTTCTCCTCTTCAGAGACTGTGGTGCTCCACGTCTCCGCCCCGTAGGTCATCGCGGGAAGAACATGCGAGTTGAAGACGTGAGCTTTGACCCGGGGTCGACGTGCTTAGAAGTTAGTACATCTCGAAGTTTATTGAACGCGGTCCAGCCCGCTCTGCGGCGTCGGCTAATCTCGAGCGTGAGATCGTTATTCATGTTGACCGCTTTACCGAGATATACGTAAGAGGAGACTCGCTCGATCTCCTGGCCTTCTAGGAGGATCGGCTGGTACTGAACTTGTTCGTTGTGCATCCACTGAGTCTTGCCGGGATGAATTTGTAGTCCGATTTTGCCGGCTTCCTGCCTGATGAGGCTCAGGGGTTGGGCGGGAAAATCGGACAGTGTGAACCGTTGCAATGAAAGTTCTTTGAGAAATTTTTAGGAACCTCTGCAGCACATAATAAGATCTTGACCTAGAACGTTCGCAAATTCGACATCCGTAAGAAATCGAAATTGGGTCGTGCGACCAAAATCGCGTCAATCTTTTGAGGCATTTTCGCCATTAGTCACCTCGGTTTACCCGTCACCTATGGCTTTCTCATCGTGTCTGACCGCCTTAACGATCATGTGAAAAGCAAATTGAGGCTCATGTCAAAAATTCCTATTTGGTCAAGTCTTCTCGAGTTTGAAAATTTTAAAGCGGGCGTGGTATTTTTAGCTCTCAAAAATCGAGAGTCTTATGCGACCAAATCGAGAGCCCTATGTGGAAAATATTTTTGGCATAGATGAATAATTAAACGAGCTCGTCAAGAAGCTTGCTTGCGCGCAATCTCCTCCGTAGCTATGAAAACACATTGCGATGGATAGAAATAGAACTCCAAAGATTGGCCCTGTTATGGGCGCTTCAAAATGGTGAAAGTGCTCTACGGTTTTGATACATCTTAATCCAAATAATAATTTTTAGTGCTCCTTTGAAGGGAGACATTGAAATCCGCCGGGTGGGGATAGAACCAGTGGTCATAACCGCATACTCGGTTTGCGGTTGTTTAGGTCAAGCATAAGATCAAGCCCTTCAAGAATATTGAGCATGGAAGGTGCTCGACCCACACTAAAGATTAGTAACCGAACTTTCTTGGTTAATTAACCCTCTTGTCTTAGGAGATATGCTTTGGACCTAACTTTCCACCACTAAATTTGTTTTCTGTCAACTTTCGTACCTTCTTAGATCCCCTAAGTTGAGCAAACAACGATCCTTTGCTTCGGTTTTCTTCTCAGCTTCGGAGGCGCTATATATAACACTAATGACTCACTCTAGGAGTTGTGATTCCATAGTGAGCTTCAAAATCAATGAATAATTCTCGGTTTATGGACCAGTCGCGTGTTGCTTTTCAACGTTAGGTGTTCTTGATTGCATCAGCTAAATAGCGAGTACGGTAATGCTTTGGGTTTTACTAAGCTCGAATACTTCGATGGCGCTCTTCTCAGTGGAGTTCACGGCATTCGAAACCTAATTTCCGACAACTCGTACCTAATACAGGGCTCGATTCAAGAAATACTTGGAAAAAAGTCGAGTTAAATTGGAGCTGATGGCCACAGAGCCTCACAAATACTACATTACATTACCATACCCTTAAATAATTGTCTCTGGTTTGTTCATAGAATTGTATCGGTTTGATTTTTCAGTTACAGGCACGAGAAACCGCGTCCGTTACGATTTGGTCGATAGCGCTGGCGTCGTGAAGCGGTGACTGGAGCGAGCACAATATTCTGTTTCGCAAAAATTCAGAAATATCGATCGCCAACTACTGAAAAATTGACATCATCACTTACATTGTACTGTAAAGAAGAATGAACAATTTAGTGAAAGGAAGTTTATGCACAAACATTGAAGGCGGATTTTACGACGAAAGGGTAGGAAATAAGGATGGAGTTGGTCAGTGAAGCAGGAATGAAGAAAAAAAATCGGCCCGGAACCCGAGAAATGGGACCCCTTCCTTGCCCGTTGATTTCCGCATTGATGCGACTCTCATCGCTGTGCCCTCTTCAACGCTACGCTCTCTCTTTGCTATCTAATCACTCGCCGTAGGGTAGCCGACAGGAGGCCCGTCGCGCGGCAACAGAGTCAGCGGACGAGTCGCAGCGCGTACTGTAGTGATTTCGCGTCAAGTTAAATAGAATGTCCATTGTACGTCCTACATCGCACATCACGCGCTGCGACTCGTCCGCTGACTCTGCCTTCTTGCCGCGCGACGGGCCTCCTGTCGGTACCCCTCAAAGTGTATGGAAGTGTATAGGAAGAGTGATTAGATAGTCAGTAGACGTTCCTTGCCAATGCAGCCGTGGGCAACGCAATGCTACTGTTCCGGGTTATATTTTCCGGTGCGAAATTTGTGTCGGTCCGTACCCTTAAGGGGTCGCCTATCTCCCCACTAGGTAGGTTTCCCCATTTTCGACCTCCGTTCTTATCGTGGAATCGTCCTTTTTAGAGAAGCTTCTGCTTTGGAGTTTACAGTGTCAGCTGCAGATGATACTATAGGCATCCTATAGCGAGATATTGGCTGTTTTCAGAGTTTCCATCGAAGATTTGTTTGTTCCTCGTGTAGGAGCGGAGCTCCCATTTTTCGATCTAACCTTCTTCCAAAGACAATAATGTTCAAAGTATGGGCGCTATCGCAAGGTACGGGGGTATCATCCAGGCCAAACCCGGGAGCGGCCAGGAACTTTTCCGGAAAATGAAAATTGTTTGTGCACTTTAGAGTATCTCCAGCCTCGTCTGACACTTAGTTCCTATTTAAAGGCAAAAGTCGGGCTCAATAAGGGGGTATTATGGCGATTGAAACTGAGTATAGAGATGCGAAGTGGAACGACAGTGGAGAAAAAACTGA